AATTAGCCAATTACATTGTAATCATTGTAATGAAGTTACTTTATGTAATATCGAAGTAGATCTTAACTCCTGCAGTATTTAAATGCTCGAAGCATTAGATGTAGCACTAACTTTAAATAAATAATTATCAAGGAATCGGGCACATTATAAAATTGGAAAATTAATTTGTTAATAATGTACTAAATAAATAGAAAAGGAAAATACTTTGTATAATTTTTAATATTGACTTTTTTTTGTAATTTACTATCTCAGGGTACACCACTTTTACCAGATATAATTGTTTATCTTTGATTGTCGACTTTCTGGAGTGATCACAAATTAATTTATTGTGTAGAATTTCTGAATTATATATCGTCAGACCTGATGCAGTAAACCTCTCCGAATGAATCTATAGGAACCAACCTTTTAACAACGTATATTTTTTTTACAAAAAAATTTTTTTTTACTATGATAGAAAATCAGAATCTGATATAAGTTCGAAGCTAAAAATACATAATGAACTATAAAGTTGAAATTTTAAAGTCATAATATTCTTGGGAAATTAATTTGGTATCTTCATTTGATTCATGTATTCTATTTTATACGTACGTACGTATGTATGTATGTAATTGGCAGATCATTCCGAGAATCCGAAACTCTCGTTTGTTCACATAGTAGTGCATTTTGTTTTTATCGTCTGCTATAATATGTGGAATAACCATATGGATTTCTCTTTTTGGATAAAATGGGCAATGTGGCTATAGAAGTTAATTGGATGTAACGATAACAATGTAATTTATTATGAAATTACCTAAACAGGAATCTTAACAATCAAGTGTATACATTAGTATATAATTAAATAAATACGTCATGATCATATTTATCCGAATACTTTATTACGTATAATTTCCTTAAAAATTAGGTTAGAAATTATAAAGTTAAATAATGAAGAAAAATTCCAAAGAACTTGCTTTACATTATAAAAAACTTCTACAAAGTGGCCACAATTCTGATGTAATTATTCGCTTTGGCCAAGGAGAGAATTTAAAAGATCTTTATGCTCATTCACTTATTTTAAAAGAGCGAGCTACCTTCTTTAATATTGCTCTTTCTAGTAGATGGGCTAGGAGAGAAAACAACTTTTTCATTATTGAAATAAAAGATGACGTGTCAATAAATACATTTAAAACTGTTTTAAGGTATCTATATATATTAATACTATTTTCCAATTTTTTTATATCTTTTGTCGATTGATTATTAATCGTACTGATTTATTTTAAAAGTTACATATATACTACTGAAATTTCTTTAGATGAATTAAGTGGTATTGAGATTTTGGAACTTTTAGTTGAAATTGATAAATTACTACTTAATGAAGGAATTAGTGGAAAATTAAATTCTTATGTATATGAAAATTTGGAAAAAATAATACGAAGTGATGCAATTAGAACATTACAACTTATTTTTCAAGATATATATAATAAAATATTCGGAATATTGTATGGACCATGTCTTCAACTCATATGTACTTATCCAGATATGATATTTGAACATTCCAGATTTACCCAGCTAGATTCATCTATTTTAACTCTCATATTAAAACGTGATGATCTAGGAAAACTAAGCGAAATTAATATTTGGAATTATTTGATTAAATGGGGAATTGCTCAAATTCCTACTACTATTCAAGAAAAGGATATAAATACCTGGGAAAGTGATGATTATATTCCATTTAAAAACGCAATTAATGAATTTATTCCTTTAATTCGATGGTTCCAGATTTCAAATAAAGAATTTAAACAAAATAGACAACTTCTTAAAAATGTATTACCAGATGATTTGTTTAACAGCATTTTAACCTATCACTTGGATCCTAGTTCTCTATTAACGAATACCAGATTCTTGGAACCAAGATATGCTTCAAATTATGTATCATCTGAACCAACAATCAGATGTGAATCATTTTTTAGTTCATATGAGGATCTTGTCAATATTAATGAAACGCTGTTTACAACTAATGACCATGATATAATCATTCGCGTTAGCAATGATATTGGTTTCAAAGATTTTTATGCTCATTCATTAATCTTATGTGCACGTTCCTCTTATTTCAAAACTGCCTTTTCTAATATTAATCAAGATGAAAAACCTTTTATTTTTCCAATTCAAGATATCTCTACGGTTGTTTTTGAAGTTATTTTCAGGTATTTGTTAAGTTTAGATTAATATATGTTTATTATTATACCTAGTAGTTATTATTAATTTATTATATTTCATTTAAAGATATTTATATACTACTGAATTTGATCCTATAAAATTGAATGGTGCCAACACCTTAATGCTCATTGTAGCTGCAAATAAGATGGACCTCGATGTTATTATCAATTACCTATTATTACCTACAAATTTTGCTGAATCTACTTTAAGAAAGCTAAATGGCGGTGATGTTTTAAAACTTTTGATGATTAATGAATTAAAAATTCAAAATGCTATTAATAATATATTATCTGAAAATGACATTGCACGGGCCATCTTAGAAAAATTGAATGGTGCTCAAGTGTTAGAAATAATAGAAAAGACTGAGGAGTTGCAAATTCAAAAAGCAATTGCCAATAAATTATCAAATAAGGATTTCATCAATAATATCCTATACAAATTTAATGCGCATGATATTTTAAAGTTCACGAAAATATCAAACGATACAAAATATAGAAAAACTATTGATGATTTGTTAACAAGTGCTGATTTTATTCAAATTATCCTTTATAAATTGAATATTGGACAATTTTTACAATTCATGAAAGCGGCCACTGAATTACAAAATAACTTAATTGTTATTAATCTGTTCTTAAATGAAAACTTTAAGTTGATAGTAAAAACATTTAATGGGGCTGAAATTTTCCGCATATTAATAGAAGCTAATGTCTTGAAACTTCAAAATTTATTTTCCGACATGACAACTTATATAGATCAAAATTTAGAAAATCTTCTTCAAGATGATGCTGTTGGTGTATTACAAATAGTTTTT